TTGTAATAACAACAACAATTGTAACCAAATATTTGTTAAAACAACAAGAATCAGACAAGAGCAGATTTTGTAATAACAACAAGAAGAACGATCGATGTTTATTTAGTACATATGATCGAATCAGGCAAGGAAGAAACGGGAAATACCTGGATGAATAGCTCCTGGAAATCGATCACTATCTCCTGAAAATCGGACTAGGGCTGTGTGCACAGCAAAGGCTTGTGTGTGTGGCGATCCGGCAACTGATGGCAAGCAGAGCAGCAAACCATCGATGAAGATGTCAACAGCAGCCCGATGAATCCCTCTAGCGGCATATTCAACCGATGATTGTTAATGGGTATCATATTGAGACGACCAAAGGAGATACTGAATATCTCAGCATAATTAATAAAACTTCTGGTATTAAAAGAGTGTTAGAGAAATTGCTTGCATTTTCATCTGGCCTGTACTAAACCAAAATTAGTATAATTGAATCGTATATGACCATAAACCAAAAGTTTATGAATCAACAATGATGTGAGAATTATTAATAGCTCATGTGGACATCCACTCAAGAACCAGAAGATTCTTCAAACTAATGAGTTATCTTGTGTTGCTTGCTCTGAAGGAAAATTAATCACTAGACCCTCACCTACTAAAATTGGAATGGAATCACTTCCCTTTTAAGAATGTATTCAAGGTGATATATGTGGACCAATTGATCCACCATGTGGACCATTTAGGTATTTCATGGTTTTAATGTATGCTTATTATCGACTCGCAACCTAGCGTTTGCGAGATTAATAGCTCAATTATTTGGTTCATTAATGATTTAAATATAATCGGAACTCCTAAACAACTACAAAAGGCAGTTGAATGTTTGAAAAGGGAATTCGAAATGAAGGATCTTGGAAAGACCAAATACTGCCTTGGTCTACAATTGACCATTTAAATAATGGTATCCTTGTGCATCAAACAACCTATATAGAGAAGGTGCTAAGAAGATTTTTAATGGATAAGGCACATCCTTTAAGCACCCCAATGGTTGTAAGACAACTTGAAGTTGATAAGGACCCATTTAGACCGCATGGAGATAATGAGGATATTCTTGGTCCAGAAGTACCATACCTAAGTGCAATTGGAGCACTAATGTATCTTGCAAGTCACACTAGACCCAATATATCCTTTGCTGTAAATTTATTGGCAAGATATAGTTCTTCTCCAACGCGGAGACATTTGAATGGGGTCAATTAAATACTTCGTTACCTTCAAGGTACAAAAGACATGGGTCTATTATTTCCTAACGTGTCCAAAACAGAATTGATTGGTTTTGCAGATGCAAGTTATTTGTCTGATCCCCATAAAGGGAGATCACAGACTGGATATGTGTTTACATGTGGAGGAACAACAATTTCGAGACGTTCCATGAAACAATCAATTGCGGCAACATCATCAAATAATGCGGAGCTATTAGCCATTCATGAATCCAGTTAAAAATGTGTACTTGAGAAGTGTAATTCGGCGTATTAGACGGTCATGTGGATTATGGTCTGAAAAGGAACCTCTGACCATCTTATTTGAAGATAATGCAGCTTGTATCCACCAACTCAAGGAAGGATTCATCAAGGGAGATAGGACAAAACATATTTCACCAAAATTTTGGTATACACGTGACATCCAGAAACAAGGTGAGATTGTTGTTCAACAAATTCGTTCAAGTGACAATGTTGCGGATTTATTCACCAAAGCTCTTTCAACGACAATCTTCAAGAAGTTAGTGCACCTTACTGGATTACGTCAACGCAAGGATCTTGAGTGATATATTCATTACAGGAGTAAATATGCGATGTACTCTTTTTTTCTTGCCAAGGTTTTGTCCCGCAGGGTTTTCCTTGGCAAGGTTTTTAATGAGGCAGCTTCCCTTAAACGTATTTTTTTTGTACTCCTTATATATTCTTTAGTAGTGTATATTTAAGGGGGGGTGTAATGTAATGCATAAATATACACTACTCCTCCCTTAGCCCAAGCCCATAAGTACTTGATCGGGCCCATGTATTTACCTATATACACCCTAGGCAGTCCTTGTGCATAAAGATTTTTTATGTATTGCCCAACCCGTCCGACGTGCATCCCTAGGCGGTCCTTGCTCACCCTAGGGGATAGGGATATGCTTGCTTAATGACTGCCCAACCCGTCCGACGTGCACACCTATTCCCTATGTTAAGCCACTAAGTAAGCATAAAGATACAAGTTCACGTGTAAGACCCTAGGCGGTGGTGTAGTCAATACTAATCTTGTGTATCTTACATTGAACCATTAATGATGAACTATGGTAGATGATTCATAAAGTAGGAAAATTCATTTTCCCCTGTTCATAGTCCCCAAAGACTAAAAAAAGAAATTATTTCAAGTAGCAGTAAAACATAAACAGGGTACACCAATAGGAGTAGCTATATTTTATTCCCAAAATCATAGTCATTTGGTTCTAAATAGCATAAAACTTATTCAATTGGGGAGTGAAAACTGGTTCAATTAGGAATAAAAGGAGTGAATGCAGTAATAAGTTTACGGCCAAAGTGAGAATGAATAATTACCAAAGTGATGGGATTGGGGAAAGCTGGGCAAGGGAGGAGAATGAGGTATAGGAGGGTAGGAAATGGAAGCAGCAGCTGCGGCGGCGGCGGCAGATCGAATCTCATCTACGCTGACTTCGGTTCCGACCAAAGGAGCTGTCGGAATTGTTCTTCCCACATAAGCAGACGATGAACTCCATCGTTCCCAGTCTCTCTGTCCACTTAGGTTTTCCGCTTTTGCTATTCCGGACAAAAATGCACAACATCAAAGACAGGATCATCCGGTGGATAAAACAGGAAACTGAAATTCAAAGGGAGAAAACAATTTTTAATGTGCAGCCTGGGATACCTGATAGTAGTGGCTCCTCCATGATTGAGCGCTCGATCTTAATAATGAAATAAAAAAGTCAGCTTTGAGCAGAAGATATGAGGTCCGCGTACGTAATATATAATCCGAATTATTTCTATACGCGCACGTGATACTCGTTTTGCTAATTTTTGCCTTCATCAAGAAGGAAATAACCAATGAGCTGTTGAATTCACTCAAACCAACCGCCTCCGGCGAGGACTTTCCCGGTTGAGTTGGTTTGGACGGCCTACTATCTCCCTGGGATTTTGACTACGGAGTATTTTTAGGCTGTCAAGTGTGGTGACTGGTGAGGATTAGGACATTCGCAGGCAAGAGCAATTGGATCTTCTCTGTGGGTATTTGTTACTCCGTATTATCTTTTGCATGATGGTAATATATTTTTGTTATTGATTACTAGTAGTTTTGTTTTTATGTAACCTAAATTTTTTATATATTTACAAAATAAATAAATATTCATCTCAACTATACCACTTAAAATGTACATGAACTTTTATCAAACTAGTTATCAAAATGTAAAATAAGAATATATACACTTTGTTCAAAAAAAACTGAAAAGAGTATATTTTTTCTCACACATATTCATACTATTCAAGATATATTTTTTCCTTCTCTTTTTTTTATATTTGTTCTAGCATGCTTGCATTTTTAATGTAATATGTTTGATCTCTCAACTATCCTATCATTTTAAATCAAATGAATTTTTTTAATAAAAATACAAAAAAACGAAACCGAACCAAGATGAACCAAACTAATCAACGCATAGTTTCAAGTTATAAAATTTGAAATTGAACTGAACGTTTTACTTTGATCCCGTATTTGATTTTGCCTCAAAACCGAACCAAAAATATAGAACCCGCTCCTAAAGGCCTAGCTATTAGATAAGCTAAAGCAAGTTGTGGAGACGATGAGGACCTCAAAGCCATTACGAGGGACAAAACATTCAAGGTGAGGATGTAGAATGTAGAACGGAGTAAATGTAATATACTTCAATTTACTAAAACTAAGGTACATGATTGCAAACATTAAAAGCGTGCAAGATCATTTTGGCAGCATTTTCTATATCGTAAAACATACAAAAGAACATTGATTGCCACATAATAAAATATAGAAACAGTTTGGTTGAAATTTACTCAAAAAAGAAGTAAATAATATCAATCATAGAGCAGTTATTCAAAATAAAGCATGACAAAAAGTTTAGAAACCAAGAAAGTTGGTAAACTATGGTAAGACTGATGTCAACGCTTTTAATTAAACCTGTACAGGTTTCATCATTAAAATTAAGCACCCAAAATAGAATTTCAATGGAGCCATATATGACTCCATATATGAGAGTTTACGATTTAAACAATCACAATACAAAAGACAATAAGAAAGACACTAGATTTTGGTGACCCAATTCGCCAAGAATGACTACGTCTAAGGCGCTACCAAGTCAGGATGTTACTATTATTTTCTGATGATGGTTACAAAGAGAGAGCATGTATATATAGAGAGAGCAAAACCTAACCCCAACATAAAAGAACTTGTGGCCCATATATAAAAGGATCCAATAGTCACGGCCCGAATAGTAGTTAGTTTCACAACAGGAGAGAATATGTCAGTGTAATCGATACCATTACGTTGCTCGAATCCCTTCACAACCAATCTAGCCTTGTAGCTTTCGCATGGACTTGGTTATACAGTCTCTAACACCTTACAGAGAGAGCTATATCACTCACCATGGTGATATACTGATATTACAGAAATCTACATCACTATGAGAGAGCTATATGTGACAGCTTAAAATGCACAAGAGGATGGATTTAACCGTATCCAATGATAGGAAGCAGGAACACTTGTAATGACTAATGACACAAGAAACATTATAAATCCAGTCCCCAAAGAGTACATACAGACCAAGTGCATTACTTGTTCTTTGTTATTACAATTGTTATTATCATCACTTGAACATCTAATTACCAGTGTTTAAACAATTTACATATACATGTCCAAAATCATTCAGAACTTTCCTTAAACTCAGGGATCCCTTCATTAAGTTAGTTAAGGGGTTGATCAGTTGATGGAAAACATGAATAGTTCTGAGAGTCTGGCATTGTTGACAATTAAGATAACAGTACAAGTGAAAGACGAATCCAAAATTTAGCAAATGTGTAAAAAAGTATTAGAGTAGAATGGCTAAAGCTGATTTTTGGAGATCATATTCACAAGCAAAGTGATGCTGAATTTTACTAGACCCTTTTGACAATTTACCACATGACTAACGTATGCAGCAACTAATGTACATGAGATTCTATTTCTAACCCCTGCAGTTTGTAATGTATAGACTACATAAGCTAAAATACTGCAGGGCCACTCACGTGTATTCCTAGACCACACCATTCATTAATAATAAGCAGCAACAAATGGAAGCTCTAAATGTGAAATGTATCTAGCTAGTAGTTACTACTGCCTCCAACTTAATGACAGCCCCTTCGGCGAGATGAACTTGAAGAATGCTGGTGAGGTTTGCTTTCAGAGTCGATCCTATCTGCATACATTGGCAACCGAATGATATCATGGATTTCACCCAACAACACGTCCTCCGTGATATTGTCTTTGATACTTCTCATCACCTGGGTTTGATTCATTCACAAGATAATTATTAAAAAAGATCCAAGCTTCAATGCTCAGTTTGGTAACCATGTTTTTTAATTACCAGCCAGATTTTACCACTGATTTTTTTCTTTTACGCACTCAATTGATTAATAATGAAAAGTTTGGAAATCATTTTGGCTGAATTGGCTGAAGAGTACCATTGTAGCTTTTCCATATTCCTTTTTCTTTATTGATAAAATATTTTTTATATTTCAAGCCGGAACTTCAGCAACTTCTGCCTGTTTTAATTTTGACAAACAGGCTCTGAAGTTATAGCTACTGCTGCTTCTGTAGACTATCAACTTATTATCATATAAATTCTTGCAAACGATGGAATACAAAAATATATATGGATTCATTTAAGACGTACCTTCCGATATGTATTGAATTCATTTGGCGTTCCTTTATCTACTCTTACCCTCATGCACACCCACACTTGATTATCAGAATCCCAGGAGCATTCAATGATTTTACCGGAGAGCTCTGATGGATCTGAAGAATCTGTAACATTTAAAAGGGATTAATTTGAGAAAACACAGGCAAAAGAAAATGAAAAGAAATTAATGAAGCAACAACAAACAACAACAACAACAACATCCAAGCCGTAGTCCCAAACGATATTGGGGTCGGCTAACATGAATCGATACATGATATCACCAAAAGGAAAAGAAAGAAAATAAAGATAAAAAAGATAAGCTATTATAAAAAAAAGATAATATAAAAGAGATGAATATACATATAAAAGATAAAATACAAAGGATAAAGTAATATTTATATATAAGGATAAAAATATATATATATAAAAAAAAGAGGGGAAAAGATGATACAAGATCACTCCTCCACACGAATACCCGCCCTCCATTTTGCTCTCTCCAAAGCCATACCCTCATCCAATCCAAGAAGAAGCATATCCACAATGAATGTTATAAAAGAAACAGTAACATATGAGAACTGAATCTATTTATCATGCAACTTTCGAAAAAGCAAATGCATGTTACATGTGACAAATTTAGTTAATCCACCAAATTAACTTAGAAATATAAGTAGGGTTCATGATTGAAGAAGATCTTATGGGCTTTATTTGTTTGACTCAATGGACAGAGAGTAGTGAGTTGTCCCCCCACCCACAATGTGCTGGGAGGGCTTCATATCACAGTATAGAAAGACAAAGAAGAAGATATATCTAACCTGGGAATACAACCCTATTCCCGTCCATCAGTTTCTTCTTTCCCCGTTCATTTAAATAAAGCAGCTCTCTACTATCAATCACCTGTCAGCCAGAGAGATAAAAGAAACAATGATACAGAACCGAACACAACTATGTCATATTAGAATTTGGACATGTGGGCAGGGAATAAAACCTCAAAGAGGAAATCAACAGAGTTCATCTCAGGGTATTTCCACTTCAAGAGACCCTCATGAGTCCTCGTAACGTAAGGATCATCCCAACCCTGTTTTGGTAGGCAAAACAATTAGAAAGAGAATAAATTTTATAGACCATGAGACAAAATCAAGTTTTGAGGGATTGTAAAAATGATAACTTTTTACAAGAGAACACTTCTCAGCCACAATTTTTTTTTTATAAATCAGGCATCAAAACCCACGAGAAAAGAGAAAAGGATTTCAGAATGTGAACAACCTGAAAAATGAGACCATCTGCTGCATGTGAAAGCTTTGGAATGAAGTCTTTCAAAAGTCTAGTGACAGTAGAGAGGAGCCAAAAATCTTTCCTTCTAACCTGGCAAAGCTTTTGGAGATCAGTAACCATTCAACAAGAGAACGTAAAAATGCAAATGCTTACCAGCTGAGAGCTCATTAAAAACTTACTCTAAAGGGTTCCAATTCATATCTGTAAAATGGATTTCTACTTTGGTAAATATTTTGACGTTCTTGTTTCCGAGGGTCAATCACCTCTCTGTCAATCATTTTCCATCGCTCATGAAAGGGTCGCTGTGTTGGATACAGAGAAGCAGACCTTGTCATTGTCAGTAGTCCGGACATATTTTTAAAGCAGATCAAATCACATCACTAGCAAAAACATTCACCAATGGAAACACATTTCAACTTCAGATATCTGAAATGACAGCAGAACATGCCTGAACACCAATCAAACATTTATGCTAACAGGGGGTGCATATTGTGAAGACAATGTCTGCCAAGTACTACTAAATAATTTCCTGGAAGTTTGTTATTAATTAAGTCGGAGCCTAGACCCACATGCCCAAAAATATAAGCTCAACAGGCACAAGGAGCCCAATAAGAGAGACCTGACAGATATTTGTCCCCTTCAAACATGTGTCTATTATTTTATCACCACCCATTAATATTTTGACCATGGGATTCCCATTTAGTGGATCAGTCAGGATGAATCTGCACAACACATCCTATTTAGATTCCTCTTATAAAGCACAAAATAAATAGCTCACATAAATTATTACTCTGTTTTACCAAGACATGCAATAGCCAACCTCCTTAGGTGCTAGGAATGCTGACAGAATGCATAGCTGCATTAAAAAACTACAGCAGCATACACAATTTTCCCTTTCTTGTAAAGACCATTACATAATCACGGAGACAAGATTTAAGAATAAAACCCAATAGACAAAAAAGGTTGGATAGAGCAAAAAAATTATTCTCTTCACCGTGCAGATAAGGACTAAAAACATTAAATGAAAAGAACAATAAACAGATCATTAAAGGAAGACACATGAAATTTATCGAGTCTCAAGTACGTAAGCAACCTCTGTGACAGACATGAAATTGAGTGCCATCATGTCATATATAAGATATCTTCTTTCCTGCCTTTGTGTCTCAGGTACTGTATCAATTATCATTTCCCCATCAAGTAATGTGAAGTGATGGGTCTCACCTATAAACTGACAAGCATAACTAGAAATGTAAGATTGTACAATTGAGAACGGAAAAACATTTATCTCGCATCAATCATAATACAGACAAATTTAGAGAATCGTCTAATCTTGATGAATGAATCCATACTTCATTGGAATTGGATGCTCTGCATGGAAATCTCATCTGAACCCTTCTAAAGTTAAAATGTCTGTCAATTAAATAGCAACCATCCATAGTGATGAGCATCATGTATCTTGTTCCATCAGCTTTCCATGTGGCATAGTAGTATCGCTGCCTCAACAATTGCAAATTATCCCTGCAAGTGATTGAGTCAATGTATTGTCTAATACAGCAATAAAATTTAAAAACAAAGATGCAGCAAACATGGGAGTAATCTGTCATTTAGTAGCATACTGGCATGCTACTCGGGCTTATAGGCCCATATATACAAAACATGACTATATACGGCAATAGGGGTGCTGAGAAACATGTGTCAAGTTGCCAACCACATTTCTTCCATACCAGTATATTCATTCAACTTATATGAATTATGTTTGTGGATGCAAGTGATAAGAAAGAGAAAGGATACACGAAAGTTGTGTATATCTACATCAAGCCAATTAAATTTTCTTGCTATTCCTCAAAGCTCTCTCTGATGAAACAGTTGTGTTCAGAAATATCTATTGTATACCCAAACTTCACATAGCAATCTGTTATCAGCCACTGTCTGCCACTCATCCTCACTGGTGTCCTCTTGGAAATAGAAAAAAGTGATATGAGATGTTAACAAACATAATGTTTTCCACAATTTTGTATATCATGCGCATACAACTAAAAGGCAACGAAAGCTCCAACCTTTCAAGGCTTGTGTCAGTAATTTTATGAAAACGTGTACTGGTGTACCTATGAATTTCTTTCTGCACACTTAAGTGTTTGTATGAAGACATAACTCTGCCACATACTATAAATAGAATGCCAATATAAACTTTGATATGGCAGACACATGATTGAATACACTATAAGACCAAATCAATCATTCAAGAAAGACTGGATGCCAACCTGTTGAGGGAAACTGGATGGGACCCAGGAAATTGTGGATTTCTTCCCTGAAAAAATAGCATTAATGATAACAACCAAATGACACCATTGCAGCATAAAATCACGCATTCAAGATCACAACATGATAATAACATGTATTTGCAGAAATGATTTTACAGATACTGTTGAAATACTTGACCATGTCGATGGTGCCGCAAGATCAGGGATTGACTGCATTTTTCACCAATTACTTGCATATTAATTGTTTCAGTTTTCATTTTTATTCAATCTAATTAGTGTGTGAATTTTGTATCCATAATTAGTATGTGTTAAAGGAGTTGGTTGGTTTCACATATATATAGACATATCACATATAGGAATACGCGTGCATGTTCTCATGTTGCCATTTCAACATTCAGGATTTCAACATATAGGAAATCTCTTCTTATTTTTATGGTTAGTTCACATTTGAGTTATGTATTTAAGCATGTTATCCCAAATATTTAGTAAAGGGAGTTCGAGAGAGCTCAACATCTCCTACATATCTTAAACATCAGTTTTATATTTATTATACATCTTTCCTATTATTTTGACGTAAACATACGATCTCGTTCCGTCTCTGTATCACCTTCATCTCAGGAAAACCTCAAATATTCAGTTCTTTATCACCCCTTCACCTGATCTCAATCCGGCCACACAATTGTGTGCGTGTGGGTGTAGGTGAGGTGGTGTGGGTGAATATGCCTATAGAAGATTATTTACCCCAGGTGGCTGCAACCTCAGAAACTGGTAGCACAACTGCCGTAGAGAATCCTGCTGATCAGAAGGGATACCATCTCCCAGAAGGTCATCATTTGTCATTACAATTTGCGTTTCTTGAATAACCTGAAATGAGATAAGGAAACAGTGGGCAAATTTTGTAGTGGCTATATGGATACATATTTCAAGACATCAAGTCTTCAACAATGGTTATACATATACATGTGAGCCAAAGGTTAAAATATTGCGAGAGAAGGAAAGGGTTAAGAAGGTACGTACATTTGAAGGAGCTATAGCACCTACATCATCTTCATCATCATTGTCTGGCATAGCATCCCCATTCAAATCAAATTCACCAGATCTCTTCCACTCGGGAGTTGGGGGGCAAACAACCGTTTCAGGTTTCTTCTCATGATAAAAGGCATATAATGCATCAATATAGTCTGGCTTATATATACCAGGGGGCCGTGCTGCAGCAAAATTTTGTATTGCCTGCATAATTGGCCAGGATTATCAGTCGAGAGATGCATGCGGTAGCATATGATGAAGTGCTTTTCAAGAAGTCAATTCACCTGAGTGACAGAAATAGGCATTGTTCGCATAAGATAATGCACAATCATATACCCAGTGCGATTATGCCCATGTGTGCAATGGACAAGAATGTACTTTTTTGTATTCTTCTGTCGTGCAAGGAACTGTAAAACCTGATAGTTGAGGATATTAGTCACTCCAAGGGCAGAGTAAAAACATCTTGAAGAACAAATAACCTGATCATCTTCTTGAAATCTATTTCAAGTGAAGCCAATTAAACAGCAAGTCAAAACAATAAATTGAAATGTTGACCTGTTGTACTTCGCATACTTGGATGACAAAAACAAATTGAACATACATTTAATCCTTGCACATCACTCACAGTCTATGCATCTTCACTAACACAGTCTAGCTTTTATAAAGAACATACAATCAGTTAAGAGGCGTTTTGGTGGAGTGCCTTTCACATATTTCAGACATAAAATCCAAGTTGCATTCCACTACTCCTTTTATATAACCTTGAATTTACACTTTCACCATTCAATATATATAGATTCAAATCCTCTCTGGTTATTGAAATCTAATGGTGTTCACATTTGGAGATTAGTCATTAGCCACAGATGGCTATTTAAAACAACAAAGTGGAGGTATATAAGATTCACTAGACAAGAGAGCCTTAAAAGAATGCCTCAAAACATACATTTTTGAATTACAAAACCCTCCAATAACATGTGCATAAAAAAACTTTCATCCTATACCAAATTATAACTCAATTATAGATTGCACATAACACTCCAAAAATGAGAACAGGAACTCCATAACAATCCAAATTGGTTCCCTATGACATTTCAGCAACTCCAGTCCCATTCATATGCCTGAACTGCTTCCATTTTTCTGCTTTCATTATTCATCATTTTCCATTCGTTCGGGGTAACACTTGAAGTCCCTCCAACTCTCACTCTCGACTTAGTTATGCCCAGGCATCATAACTGAATTTGTCATGCCATAAGCTTTATAATAAAGATTATATACGGAGCAAAACCAAACCATAGGGATCATCTATGATCCATCATAAATACAAATTAATATGTCAAGGTGGCCAACTTTGCAGCAAAATACAATAAAACATTGCTTCAAACATAAAAATAAATGCAGTTGCTAAAATAGCATCTATGTGAAGTTGTGAACTATTACCTCATATACAAATAAGTTGACGGCCTCGTTGTCAGGTACAGAATCACGTCCCCTGCACATAATCTAAGATGTTGCGAACTTTAAAACATTAGGATATTCATAGCATTTAGTATTGCAGACTAAATAAACTAGGTGTGTACTCCCCTTACTATAGCAGCAGAATTTAACATACCTTGACATGCTTGATGCCCTCCTTTCTAAATTCTTGGGTCGAATAGTACCTATTGGTATTTGTAAGATCTATCACCATGCCCAGCTGAAAATTTTAAGAACGCCATTTATCTCTACTTCCGAGATAAAGTTTAAACCAGATATCATATTTAGAAGTCCAATTAAAAGCTTATCAGTAGGAGAAGGATATACATCACAACCACAACAATAGACACCCCGAGTAAAGGTAAAATGTGCATACTAATATCTATAACTATTTGAATGGAACAAAAGAAGAGTTGGAAGGGAGGGGTGACCATGAAACTGAGTCTTAGATAGAAAGGAACATTCCTTCATCTTTACATTATTACAAGCACGATCTAGATGCCAACCTAACATACCGTTCTTCCCAAGACTCTCTGTTGATGCAGCACTTGCTTAAACGAGTATCTCTTGCCAGGAAGAACACCTCCATTGAAGGTTTCACCAAGGGGGACTTTAGAAGGAATAATGTAGCCTATTTCCTGTCCAGAAGCAGGGCAATCCAACCAACCTACGAAGCAAACAATCCAAAGGATTGGTTTTTTTTAAATTGAGAACATAATTTGGGCAAAGTGCAAACTGCAAAGTGTAGATAAAGAATAAAGCAGAAATAAAGAAAGAGTCGTGTAATAATCACTTGAATGCAATTCAGCCCATAGATATCACTGAAAAGATGGATAAATTGAACATAAACCGCAAATGTAAAGGTAAGTTTTCATGCCATTATCAATCAGCAAAGAGAGAAATGAAGGAGCAGACAATATAATCACTCATCACTCATCACTGAGTTAAAAATAAACATTGCAAACATTCAAATACATATAATATGCCAAAATTTCATAAAAACACAGCCTGCAGCTATCGCTGAAAAGCCTTTTCCAAAATAAATAAATAAATTCAATACATAACTACAGATAACCAACAAGCAATACTACCCAGTAATATAACTAGTCTTTACCAGTAAAAGAAGTTCTTCTACACTACAGTCAAACATCACATACTTGCATATAGGAGAGGGAAAAGAGAGCCCAACATGACAACGTAGTGCTATACAATAAAAACACAACTTTTTCCATTTGTCTTTCTTTTTTACAAGTATAACTTCTCATTCCCTTTGATTTTCAATTCACTGTTAATCTTTTTCTATCCAGATCAGGTTAAATTGTAAAACCAAGCTCAGCATTCATGATAGCACATGTCCAAGCCCTAACAAATTCAGATGTCATGCCATGGTAAAAGAATTACCTGAAGGAGGCTCGTGAGAGGGCCTGTGCTTTTTTGCTGGAAACATTTCATCATGCATGCGAGGCTGAGGTGCATATGCCGGCCTGGCATCTGGACGTTGCCTTTTAAGTCGTTGAATCCTTTCATCACGCTCCTAAAACAATAATGAGCAGAAGTCAGAAAAAAATATACCTAAATCAGAATTGAATTCTGAAGGACATAAACTCTCACAAATTCTTAGAATCCATTGTTCTTCCATTACCGCATCGTCTTTGAATTAACGACTACCAACTCTCCTCCCATCAACTAAAGAATGTATGTATCAAACGGAACACTTTCTATGGTGTGTGATTTATATTTTGAACACCAGATCATAAAGTATAAATTGCCTCATATAGGACTAAAACAATATGAAAATGCATAAATAAGACTATAAGAGTATGAATATATTTTCTCTTTATGCTCCTACTTTGGAGTATATATGTGAGTTTTTTCTCTTTATAGGAACAAGTTAGTCCTATTAAACATTATTTCAGGAAGGATTCCTGTATGTGCACTTTGAATGACTTTTACTCCTATATAGGTAATTTTAACGATCATAAATTGGAATATCTAAAAGGAAGCAATGGCTAAAAAAAAGTTTGGGCAATAGCAACAAACATCAAGGCCATACGCACAATAAAAATGAATTGAAATATACAGGGGGGGTAGATAGAGAAAGAGAGGGAGAGAGGGAGGATGAGAGATATACCCTGCGGGAAATTTCTACAGAACTCACTGCATTATCTTTATGTTCAATGATGGGTCCTACATTAGGTTCTTCAGATTCCTCCTCTAGTTGTTGTTTGAAGAACTCATCATCATCCTCTGGTTGTGGTGATGCATTTAAGTCCATACTGATAACCATTAAATATGCACCACAAACCATAAGAGGACAATTTATAAACAATTATATTAGTATTTTGTCAGCAATGCCACAGAGTTGCAATCTAAAGGCTCTAAACCAATTCCCAGCACACATTAAGTTATATTAATGAAATGTGTCAGATCTATCATGCCTGTGCTAACAGAAAGTCATATTACAAAGTACCATGCCCACATTCACAATGAAGATACAATGTGCCACTGTTTTAAAAGAAACTAAGAAAAGTAGCACTTACATTTACATGCCTAACATTTGCACCATTGAGCTAGATTTAAAGACAATATTATGATATATGCTATATGGTGTGTGTGTGTGTGTCAGTGTGTGTATCAGTCATCGTGATTAACTGTCCATGATAAGTCTTCTTACAGAAGATATATATGCAGTTGAATATTGGAAGCATGTCCCATTAGCAAAAAAAACAGTGACTAGAGATGAAACGTCATATAATAAACTAACTACGCAAAAAAAATAGTGGCAAACAGTATGTTTTTTATACTCATATGTTATGAAGTGTTGAAAAAACATTAGTGCCTTCATTTCGAGTAGTTCCTTAATAGCATTATGTTTCGTGTAGTATAGTATATACTCCATTTGTAACTTACGAACCCGGTATTATCGTGTAGGTTGGTCTTTGAATTCATAAACATTTAACTAATCCTGATAAACTTCACACAGAGTCTAAGAAAATGAAATTGTACGGTTAAAAATTATTAAGAAAGGAAAGAATCAATATCAACCCCGCTATTCTTCCCTAAAGCAGATTATTTAAGAATGGCCCAAAAAGGAAAGAAGTTAAATCAAAAGGGATGTAGGAAGTACTTATTATTACGGAGTATTTAATACAACAACAACATCGAAGCCTCAGTCCCAAAAGAGTTTGGGGTCAGCTGATTTGATCAGAGCTAAAAAGATAGCAAAGATAAAAAAGATTAAAAGATAAGATAAAGATATAAGGAGACAAAAAAGATTTAAAAACAGAGAAGATAAAGATTAAGATAAAAAGATGAAGAGCATAAGCAAGACTGTTGTACACATGTCCAACATCTATCTTAAGGGGATACCCATATGGCCAGATGCAAAGTTGAGAGGTATACTTTTCTCGATTGAAATAAATGAATATTCTCCTCTAATCACAGCGCTGATAATATCTATAGAAGAGGGCAGGCCGTGCACATCGCGCCGATCATATCTGTTGTTTTTTTCTAAAAATATGTTTCACTCACCCCTAAAAGAAGAAGCTTTTAAGTACTTTTATTCTGCTATTGGGACTAAATGGGTATTGGTTTAAGTCAATTATTTAATAATACTCATATTTATGCACTTTCCTCCTGTTCTCCTCCTATTTGTAATTTTGTAGTAATTTCTCCAATTCAAATGCAAATTCCTTCAATGAAGAATGCCCAGTGTTATCAACCTTTATCAGCCAATGTTATCTTTGGAGGTTAAGATCACAAGTTCCACAGACACATTCAGTGTATCTCCAATTTTATCCGAACGATTCTAGTACAACACCAGAATTGAACGGCATGCTTCCACTACTGAATCAAGTCATTAGCACACAAAATGCATACGGCTACTGAAGTAATGTGCTCAAAGTACATACATTGGCAATCAAAGGACAATTTTCATACCTTCTGAGTCCTACGAGCCAATGAACTACAACTATCAGTGAAACGTCTGAAGTCCGGGATGAGTATTTCTAACTTTACTATAAACTCACCTCAACCCTCTTATCATTGTGGCAACCTATCGAAAACAAAACCCTAAAATCGAGGCAAATCGCTAGATTCCTCAAGAGCCGATATTCAGCTGCAAAAATCCTAATCGGAAAAGCCCGTGTTGTGTAGTGATAGAAAGAAACGGAGATATTGCAGCGGCTGCTCAATCATGGTGGAGGTCTGCAGGATGGAACCAGTCGGGATAGAACAATTTCAGGGAATTGAGGGAAAAAGGATAAATAAATACATGTTGACTAGAATTACACAAGTATACGTCTGATTTGTTTTGGGGTTGTTTTCACATACCTCCCACTCTACAGGCTTGTGTATGCAGCTATGAGTATATGAGCTAATGATAGCAGGTAATACCAAAGTTGGCTTTAATTCGGCTTGAAATTTATGCAATTGTGACTTTATGTTACAGTAATTTATTGCTCCGTAAAAAAAATTAAAATATATTTTATTAATAAAATAAAGAAAAATTTATATGTAAAAATAGTTAAAATTGATATATACAGTAACTTCAGTTAATTCAACCGGAAAAGTAACTTCAACCTCACTTTTACATATTATTCGTAATTCAGCGTGCGAAATCAAAAGTCACGTGCTTGGTGAAAAAGGTTGGTTTGTAAATTTGATAAGCCGAAAAATTGACTCATGTTAATACAAAAGAATTTAAATGTGTTGAAGTATGAGAATGAAGATTTTTTTTATCGTAAGGCGCTTATATTATTAAAATAGTATTCAGTACGGGTACAAGAACGTGAAAGGACGTAATCATCCGCCCTTGGCCGAGACTCTGAATTAATCACCTTTGACAAAGCAATATAACTCGTTGGACCTAACTTGGACAAATTAAAGCTAACGACGATTACCGTAAACCTCTCAACCCCCAAAACTAATGCAAGGGTTTTACAGCAGAAAAAGGAGTAAAAACAAAACATAGTAGTCTCACCGTGGAGTAAAACGAAAGTAAATAAAATAAACTGACAGCGCAACCGAATACATGCTTCAAACGACATCCTCGGCGGTGGCTCAGGAGGGGGACGGATCATCAACCATTCATCTTGAAACATTTCTTGCAAACTCACCACCACAATTTCCACTGGCATCTTCTTAATCCTCATGATTATAGCCTGAATCACCCCAAAATCCATGCTTACCTTCCCAATCGAAACCAGTGGTAAAAGAGAGGAGTCCATAACCCAAACAAAATCACGATCCAAATCTGCTTTCTCTCGAAACGCCCGTCCCCAACCCTTCCTAAACCTGATGGCGAGCAAGTAAGAGCGAAGCAGAGAGGGTAAATATCAATCTTCAATCGGCACAAGCTCTAAGAGAAATGGCCGAACTTCGACCAAGGAGATTGAAATCGGAAAAGTGCCTAGCAGCGATGCCCTAGGAGCTCTCCGTATGAGAATGAAGATTAAAAAGTATTATTGCGTATAGGAGTGTGATTTATTTTGGGGTTGAAAATAAATGAAAATGTAATCAATCTATTTTTATTAAGTGTCATATAAAATTGTAAAATATTCAAATTGTGAATAAAAGGTGTAAATTTATACTATTACTCCGTATATCAAATAACCGAATCAAATTGTAATTCTCATCCATTGAATTGCACTCGTTGATCATTTGTAGTGGGATTTGTGGGAGTGCAATTTTCAAGTTAGTACGGGATTGCGAGTGAGATATTTTTAACGAAAACTCATTAAAGATTTTCAACCCTTGTTGGGTTCATTATGACTTATGAGAATAGGTTGAATTAAAAGTTTCGATCTTAATTAGCTACTTGTGCCATCCAAGTGATTAAGTGTCCGTTTGTACATACACATATATATATTCAAACCCAAGTGTCAAGGACACGAATCACTAAAGAGCTCTTATTGTCTAAAAACCTAGCGACCGTCTTACCTCTTTGTAGGGGTTGAGATTTTCCGTCGTCCCTATCAATATGGGGCTGGAGCAGCAGATTATTCTGATTGCAAGTGTTCTAACACTTGTGAGTGCAACTACGTCGAAGGAGATAACGTTGGCAGATAAACGGATTGCGGCTGAAAGTTTGTATCGGTGCTGGATCGTGAAGCCTTCCGCTCCGACGGTGGTGGAGTTGATATTCACCCATATTGCAAGAGTTTGTCCTCCTCCAGAACCACCAGTCCACCACCATACCAGGAAGAGTTTTGTGGAAAGATTTTATTTCACTTTTATTTTTCTTTAGTAGTACTTATTTTTGCTTTAGTCCGAGTAGATTTGGTTTGAATATTTGGGTTTTTGGAGTTCTTTTGACAGGGAGAGTTTCAGATCCGTTCGTTTTAGGCTTAAATTTGCCCGTTTCAGGTTTAGCGAGTCAGATTGCTTTGTATGAGGTGACTGATTCTATGTCAATTCCTAGGGTTCACGATTGGATCTGTAGAATCTATTTGAAGATTGTCTTGTATGCATCCTCGATTTCAATATAAAGCTTATGTTTTACGATATAAAAAAAGTGCCCGTTTGGTAGCCCAGTTTTTCGGCTTACATAATTACGATGTACTCCGTAATACTACTTCTGTTCCTTAAAACTTTGTCAACTTAATTTTTTTGGATGTCCCACTAACTTTGCCACTTTACTTTTTAGGTAAAGAATTTGTGGTTCAAGATCTCTCCTCTACACAAGTTTCAACCACACAGTTTTACTTTATTAATCACCGTGCCAGTCAAGCTTGGCAAAGTTTTAAGGGACGGAGAGAGTATATAAGCGCAAAGGACTACTTCAATGTGATTTTTCAAAATATAGAATGTGTCCAGTTCTGAACCACACGGGCACACGGGACACCTCATAAAAGTACTTTCACGTAGCGGCGTAGCCTAACAAATTCATATTTGACCCAATGTGTGAAAGTGGTGAAAATGCAATCTTGTTTGGTTGAGAAGAAAGTACCGGTGAAAGCTAGATGTGAAAAAGAGTTTAAGTCTTTTGTTAACACTAAAATAAACTAAATCCGTCGGAATTGGTGAATTTGATGAAATTCGAGATGAATAAGTTTAATCTTTTAATTTGCGAAGAAATTATATTTAAAATGTATTTTATTAGTAAAACAAGGTAAAAGTAGTCATCTTCAATAATCTAAGAGCATCTCAATTCATGATCTCCAATAATCAATTTTTTCTATGATTCTTACCTTTTAAATATTGTTATATAATTAATGTTTAAATAATCTCAATATTCGTTTATGTCTCCCAACCATTATCTTCAAATAATCAGATTTTTTCGTTCCTGCATTAACTTCTATTACATACACTTTTTAAATAATCTTAAAATAATCTGAATTCATATTTTGATCTCAGATTATTATAGCAAATAATCTCATTAAATAATCTATGTCTCTCAATGATGCTCCTTTAAAAAATCTGCCATGTCACTTACTTAATCACTTAATAATCCTACCAATGGGGATGCCCTAAGTCAATTCAGTTAGCAGTGTTGGACCCGGTTCGGGCCACCCGAACCGAGATCCGGCCCGGCCCGCTACTGTGTGAGCCCGGCTCGGCCCGGTGTACCGGTTTTGGTTCCGGGCCTAGGCCTGGTCTTGGGGGTTAGGGTGGGGCGGTCCCGGTTCACCCCATTCTTTGAAACTGACACGGGCGGGCCCGGTTCGGGCCTTCTATTGCTTTTTTCCCCATTGTTTTGAGCTTTTTCCTGAGTTGGGATGGGTGATTTAGTGGGGTTTGGGGTGGGGGGGGTCGGGGGTTAATAAGAAAAGAAGAAAAAAACATGGACCCAGCCCGGACCCGATGGTAACCCAAGCCGGTCCCGGGCCTTCAACCAAAAATCAAAAGCCCGGCCGGGCCTACGCCCGACCCGGACCCAAGTCCATGACTATCAGTTAGAAAAGTAACTTCAGTCTTATTTATTTGGAAAAAGGGTCAGATAGGCTCTCAAACATAAAAAGATCAAATAAGCCCTTATATAGGAGGCTCTGTCCGACCGTCGCCATTTGGGGCGGCTCCTGATAGATTTTTTTGATGAAATTTTTTTAGCATCTTATTCATTAAGTCTAGTTTACTCATATCAAATTTCAGCTAACAATTCAATTGGGAAGGCATTCAAATGAATTTTTGAAGATAACTGCGCAGTTAAAAGCGCAATTATCTTCAAGAATTCATTTGAATGCCTTCCCAATTGAATTGTTAGCTGAAATTTGGTATGAGTAACTCGACTTAATAAACAAGATGCTCAAAGAAATTCATCAAAAAAATTCCACCTGGAACTGCCCCAAATGGCGATGGCCGGACAGAGCCTCCTAATAAAGGCTTATTTGACCTTTTATGTAAGTTCGAGGGCCTATTTGACCCTTTTCCCTATTTATTTTGATTGTTATACAATATTTCGGGCGAAATAAAATTTATGTGTCCGATAAAATTCATGTGTCTGATAAAATTTAAGTTCAGGGGTTACCAAGTGGGTCTTTATTTATGTATCACTTGGTATGAAAGGAATAAGAGAGATATAAAGGAAAATGCTACAGGAATAAGAGAGATATAAAGGAAGTAAATTGTAGGATTGTTTAAGAAAGAAATTGCAAGATTTTTTTAAGAAAGAAATTGCAGCCTTGCAGGATTGAAATGGAGATTACAGGAAGAAACTAAACAGTGGAAGAAATTTTAGAAATGTATTAAAAAAGTCTTGTATAACATGCATGTAGGATCGGACCCTGATATAGGGCCAGGTTGGGCGGCTGCATGAATGCATGCATGCATGCATGCATGCATGCATACATACATACATACATACATACATACATACATACATACATACATACATACATACATACATACATACATACATACATACATACATACATACATACATACATACATACATACATACATGCATGCATGCATGCATACATATTAGGATCACATACAAATTAATCCTAATTTACATATGAGATGAATGGTGTGGATGAGAAAACTCCCCACTAATATGGTTGAATGAAGAATATGTATGTAGTGCCGGTAGTGGATATGAGTTAAAAAACTCCCCCACTACTACGACTGATTTTTAGGGGAGTAAACAAATCTTAACCTTGATTTTATAAAATTGGACGGATGATCGATATGATTTTGTATCTTGTACAGGAAGCATACTTTGTATCCGATCTTATAGATTATAGGGTAATACTCATGTAATGTAGGCCTAAAAGTTACAATTCTGAGGCCTCTTTCATTTGAGGTGCTTTTGGGTAGAATATTTTAATGAAATTTTGTGAGCATGTTCCCCATAAAGTGTAGGTTATGTCTACCAAATTTCAGATTAAAATTCAATCAAAAAGTTTGTGAAATGAATTATTGAAAAAAAACTGCATTTTTAGGCCTGAATGTTGTGCAACTTTCAAAAAGAAAAATTAACTAACCTCCCGATTGAATTTTAATCTTAATTTTGGTGAACATAATCTACATGCACTTCTTGGAGAACATGTTCACTATATTTAATCAAAAAAATTCAACCTAAAAGCAACTCAAATGAAAGAGGCTTAAAATTTAACTTTCAGACTTGTCTTATTGTAATTAAAAATGAGAAACGTGCTCCTCTTATTAGGATATTTTCTTGTGGACGGTTTTCAATTTCAAACCAGACAAGATCAGACCAGCAAATTTCACAAAACATCCTTAATTAGCATTTCACAAATTTGTGTTTTTTCTGTTTATTTTAACTTTTTTATGAAAAATAGTGTTTCTTTATGAATTGACCGTTTTTTTGTGTGATTTCTTCATATCAACATGAGATTTGTGATACTCTTTTCATTTCAGCGCTTTCATACTTTTTCATCTCTTTTAGCATCATTTTTGTATAAAAAGGTGCATTCCGTCTGTCATTAGTGAGGTTCCCACAACGTTGAAAATGTAGTTTTGTTTCTTCTCGGTTTAGGTGTATTTTTACATTCTACATTGTTATATGTGATGTCAATCTTTGCCCTTTTATTTTTTATTTATTTTTATGATGTTACTCTAAACTCTAAAGCACCTTAAATGCAAAAGGATTAATTAACTTTTTATTCTATGATTTCTATCATCTTTTTTACATACAGACACAAACGCCATTCATACTGACTCTGTACATTTTTCATTTGTTCTTGCTGCCACATACATCTGATATAGGAGTATTATGCTACTGAATAATAGATTAGAAAGAAAAAAATGGTTAAAACACTCTCTCTCCAGTGGCAAAAAGGTTCCAAAAGATGGCTGTGACAAAGTAAAGACAAGCGGTGAGTGTCAAAAATGCTTGGAAAGATCCCAGCCACTGAACAAAAAATCCTGTCCCGATAGTGCTGACTATCGCCGCCATTGTTCCCGCCGAGTTTGAGATCCCATGAAGAAATCCGGCACACTGCGGTGCAATATCCTGTGTTCAGCCAAAACCAAGACTGGAATTATAACATACTCATAAATTATATGAAGAAAAGTGCTCAATAAAGGACCATACATATGGGTGAAATGATATGTTTTTACAGAACTCACTTGCATATTCAATAAAAATCCAGCCTGGCTGAAGGAACTAAAGCTCAGAGCTATTGTAAGCAGTGTGGCTGCAACCTTGGGTGTCTTGGCAAAGTTCAAACACAGCAATGAGACTCCGGGGCCAATGAAGCCGATAGTCTGAAATGTCCACAAGAACCGCAAAATTACGGAATGATTCAAGTACTTATTCATGCACAGAAAAGAACTTAGGCGGTTAAATAAGAACAACTCAGCGGCCAGAAATCATATTTGGGACCTAGTATCGCTCCATTGCTCCATAATGCACTTGGACTATATGTTGAATTCAACCGATTGAGCTTCCATCAGAAAATATTAATCTGGAGAGGTAGCTCAATGCTATTTTATTTAGATGCACTTATACCTCATCTGGACCAAATATATTTCCCTCAAGTTCATACTAGGAGTGAAGGACCAGACACCATATGAGGTCTGATACCATATTGAGACTTGAGTTTTACCATAAAAGTTCAACATGCTATTTAGATTATGTGGGACAAAATTCTTATTTTTCAACCTCCCGTATGTCTCTCTTTAATATTTTGATGTGGACTCTTAATGCTCCCATTAAGTAGACGACCGGACCAATTTGAGTTCCAGCAGCAACACTTGAGGATAGATTCCGTAAGTGGTTCGGAACTCGGAATCACTCAGTTCAGTCAATAATTTAGATAATTTAACTCGATGCATTATAAAGCCAAATGTCTAATAAGTAGTATTTCAGTGTGAGACACTAGACAAGTAGAGTAAAACATAAATTACCTGCATCACTTTACGGACAAATGTTATGGAGTATCCAGCTTTAATTAAGAAGTCAGAGACAGCCCCGGCAACATAGCCTGACACTGCCATTGTTGCCCATGGTACAGCACTAAACCAAGCTGCTTGCTTCAAGTTCACATCGAAAACCTAAAGAAGATTTTTCAGAGACAGAAGATGCTTAATGATATTATTAAATGCCTGCAGGGGAATTCTCTAAAACCAAATTTGAGTTATAATGATAACAATAGATTAATAGTAGTAGTAGTACTAGTAACTCACAGTTTTGAAGTATACTGGCATCCAGGAAAGAAGAACAAAATATCCCTGCATTTAAGAGCAAGTTCAAATCATTACTTAGATTTAGTTTTGAAAAACACAAACTAGTCTCAAGAGAGAAAAGAAGTACCCAATTGTTGGTGATATTAGCAAATATAATGGCCCATGTGGGCATTTTAGAAAGGAGGATCCTCAAAGTGGGGATGTTTCCCTTAACCACAGAAGAATCAGATTTGCCAGCTTGAATCATTCTCAATTCTGCCTTTGTGATAGAATTGCTTTGGTGTGGATCATTAGTGACCCGGAACACCCACACATTCAGCCAGAGAAGCCCAAGAGTAGCAAAGAGGAAGAAAGGGCCAGAAATACCCATTGATGACATTGCTAAAGGAGTTATCATTAATCCCACCACATTCCCAAGATGGAAGCCACCCATAGATAATCCTACTGCGGTTGCGCGTTCATCACTTGGAAACCACCTGATAGTACATATTATATGTAACACATTAATTATAAGTTATAACAACATAAGATAACTTCTTGAGTTTACTAATTAAACTAAAATCAAACAAGAGCACTCTTCTTGAGAAAAATACTAAAAATAGAATAGGCCCAAGCAAAGCCCAATTAGGAGCTAGGCCATTCTGTTATGATATGGCATCAAGGCACATTAGGTTTAGACAGAAAATTTGATGTGTTAATCTTCATAGAAAACATATTGACTATAAGATTAGTCTGCTCAAATAAACTACCAAATTGCAGGGCATTTAATTCATTGAATATTAGGCAAATATTAAAACACAAACATTATTCGTCCTAGTAAAAATTGAACTTTTAGGATAAACTTTAAGCCCTAATATTGGTATCGTCTGAGTACAGCAATATTAAACAAGCAGCACTATTAGGAGTTGGGACTTAGTAAACTCAAAATGAACACACAACTTCAAGATTAATTATTCTGATAGCTGATTCACTATCTTGCAGGCATGTGGCATGGTAAGTCATCGAACATTAAAATAATACTCCGTACAAAATTACAATTAAGCCTATAATAGGTTAGGCTACTCTTGCTAATGAGTAGGGGGCAAGGTTACTTTTACGATATTAGCTTGAATATGAGAATAAAGTCTCAACCTTAATAGATTTAACATGTCTACCTCCCAAAGGCCGTCTAAGCAATGTAGAACACTTGATAGGGCAAAGACATTGTTGTTATTTGATGAGCATGTTGAAGTGCACATCTATTTCTCTTTTTCCCCTTTCCTCTCTTTTTTCTTTTTTCTTTTATCTTCTTTATCTTTCCTATGTTCTTTGTTGTTTTATCTTTTATATTATTTATATTTATCTTTATCTTTATTTTTCCACTCTATCTTACCTTATCCTTCTTTTCTTTTTGGCCCCGATATCAAGTATCATTTCATGTTAGTCCATCCCAAAAACTTTTGGGACTAAGGCTTGAATGTTGTTGTTGTATGTTGTTGTTGAAGTGCATATTTATGTTCGCATGACATGAATAGAAATATGAATATTGCTACTTTTAGCTCTGAGACTGAATGATGTTGGTGGTGTTGACACCAATCATTTCATATGTTGATTCATGTTAGTCGGCCCTAAACTCTTTCGGGACTAAAACTTGAATGATGTTGGTGGTGTTGTTAAAGTACATATCTATATACCTGGACAAAAGGGTGTTCATGGAAGGAAGAGCTACTCCCTCGGCAAATCCAAAGAAGGCACGAATAGCTAAGAGACTGAGCGTGGAGTGGTTTGCTGCCAGTGGAGTTAGAAGAGTTGCTAGTGACCAAAGGGTTGCACCCCATGCAATGACTTTCTTTCCTCCATACTTGTCCACCAATGCTCCTCCAACCATAGATGAAAATATGTATCCCCACAAGAATGATGACTAATGTTGAATACCAGAAATCAGCACAAAATATATACTAGTATTACATAAAAAATTTAAAATAGATCTAATGAATGAATGCACCTAAAATATAGTCTAAAAATTTAGGAAGAAAATATCCATTATCTGTACGCAAATAACAAGATAAATGAATAATAAATTAAAAAACAAGAAGTGTTGTAAGCGTATAAAATACAAGGTATAGTGTTGCCAACTTGCCATTTAGCAACAAAAAAAAAATCAGTTTCCACAATCAATATATTAGATTAATGATAAATTTTATATTTTTTTTGCACAAATTCAATGTATCAGAATTGGGTGTGCCGGGGTCTGGCATGATCGCTAGCCATGCCGAAAATACAAATAATAATAAAAAAATAATTTTACTATCAAGGGCAGTGTTATAAAATACGGAGTATCAAATAATCTACATATATATTGTTAATAATGTTCCAATAAAATTATATGATTATTCAATAGTCCTTGATGGCTTAAAATTATGTTTAAGTAAATATCTAGTTATAAGTTAATATAATTTAAATAATGAGCTTGACAACCTTGAATTGTAAATGTGAATATCTACGTACAAAATTTAAATGTATCTAATAGTCACTAGTAGGGAAAATTTATTAGGAACATTTGGATGTACATACAACTTTAAATAAGTAATAAAGTGCAAAAAAAGGTACAGCGCAATAATGGCATTTATTTGTGTAAATAGTAGTAACATATATCGCCTATCAATAACATCAAGGGTGAAACTACTAAAAATAAGTTATGCATTTAATGTATATAAAGAATACTCTTATGAACATTTGTTCATCAGATGACTAGATGAGCATATGATATGCACTTAAAATATCAAAATAGATATATTAATCAAACTTCTCTGATTTATATGCTAATAAATAGTTATATTACTATTTTATTGTTGTTATTGTTATTTGGATGGAATGTATAGGAGAACTTTATTAACTATAAAGTACGTAGTAATAAACTATTATTATTATTATTTAGCAATTTTCTTATACAAGTATGTTGCTACGGCATGTATAAATAAGGTATATATATCAGTCATAAATTTCATAGACTTTATTCAGCTATGAATTGTACATATATACATGGATATTCCTTACTCGCATATTATACATGTGGCATATTATACATGTGGTATATATGGTATATATATATGGTATATACTCCCTTACTAGTATAATAAACATTATTCAGCTAGCATAATATATTCGACCTTTTTAGAGCATCTCCAATGGTAAAATGTGCACGGTGCACACGTGGCATGAGAAATGGCCACATAAATATTAGTAAATAAATTCTTTCTTTCCTTATTTGAATGATTTTATACATTTTTGGTAAGTTTTTCTCCACAATGTCAAGGAGCCCGTCTAGATGTTGACATTGTTGTTGACATTGCAGGGAAAAACTTACCAAAATTGTATAAAATCATTCAAATAAGGAGAGAGATAATTTATATGCTAATATTTATGTGGCTATCACTCATGCCACATGTGCACCGTGCACATTATAGCATTGGAGATGCTCTTAGTTTGATTTATACGAAGTGTTTGGCTTATATTTAAATTACAGTTTATTATTACTCTATTGCTACATGAGTTAAAAAGACTCATTACTATATTAAAATTTTAACATATTTCCACCATGGTTTGAAATAGCGGCCCGCTACCGCTATAGCGGCCGCTATATAGCGGTCGCGGTAGGGGCCGCTAACGCTACGGCCCGCTATTCGTGTGTGATTTCCAAATCACCGGAAAAATCCGCTACAGCCCGCTACAGCCCGCTATTCACATTTCCGGACCGGCAGTACATCACGAACTGTTTGATGTGTAAATGTGTAAATGTTGTGTGAATGATGTGAAAAAGTACATTAATGGTGATGCATGGAGTGAAACTCAAAATTAAATGTTGTGTGAATGATGTGAAAAAATACATTTATCTTTTGCGCAATTGAAAATATTTCATGCCGCTAGAGTCGGCTACAGGCCACTACAGGCCGCTACCGTGATGACCGCTGCCGCTATTTAAAACCTTGATTTTCACTTTCCATATTTGGATATTCCAAAATAAACTTTTGCATTTTCAAAATTAAACTTAGGCTATGTTTGGCGGACATAAGTCTCTAACTTCTAGCTTTTATACTGTTCAAAAAGTCTTTAATGGCCTGTTTGTTTGGGGGTTAACCTAGGTTATTGAAGGTTTAATTTTTAGTTAACCTCGTTTGTTTGTGTTTTTGCAACAAGAATCTAGGTTATAACTTAACCTCACTTAACTCCCGAGAACCTAGAAACACCTCAAATTGAAGAACCTCCGAATCGGGGGGTTTCGGAGGTTAAGTTCCCGTTCAACATAAAATAAACTAGAGTACCTTCATCCAAACAACATTTATGACATTAACCTAGGTTCACCTTATTTATTTCCAAACGCCATTTTACGCATGAACCTAAGTTCACTTAGGTTAACCCATTGTTCTAAAACTCGCTAGGCGCTAGTCGGGCGGTTGAGAGGCGCCTAGCGCCTAGGCGGCCGACTAGGCCGATTTTTTGGCCGACTAGGCCGATTTTTCGGCCGACTAGGCCGATTCGGCCTCTACGGTTAGGGCCACCTAGGCCGCCTAGGCCGATTTTTAGAACAATGGGTTAACCCAGTTTTTATTAAAACTTAGGTTTACTTTATTGCACTAGGTTTACTTAAGTTCACTTCATCCAAACAGAGCATAAAAGTTTCTAGTTGTATGTTTGGCATGACAATTTTTAAGAGCTTTTCAAAAATCAAAATATCTTTTTTGAGATGCTACAGAGACTAGCATCTGAGAAAAGCTCGTGACTTTTAGTATTAATTAATCCTAACAGCTTGTATAACAAACAGAACTAATTAAATCAAACAGACAACTTTTTACCAAACAGCTACCACTTTTATTTTTAAGATCTTTTCAGTCACTAAAAACTAACAGTTATTGAAAAGCTCACAAAAATATCTTTTAATCTAGTTGTGACAAACATATCCTTGGTTATTACCGACTACCTTTTAAAGTCAACTTTCTACTAAAACATAGGGCTGGGACTTTGGAACCAAGAACCGGAGAACCGAACCGGACCGAACCGTTATGACCCGGTTCGGTTCGGTTCCAACATTTACTAGTTATTTGTTAACGGTTCGGTTCCTAATTTTTATTAACAGTTCGGTTCTCGGTTCCTGAAAAAAATATGTACCAGGAACCGTTAAGGAACCGTTATATATAATAATTAAAATTAAATATATTTTTTATGAATATATATACTGTAATGTATATTTACTTATTTATTTTTATATTATATTCATTATTTTAGTTTAGTCATTTAACTATTTAAAACTATTATTTATTTCAACCAGTTCTCTTAGGCTTCTTAGGCCTCTCATTAGGTCCAAACTCCGGCTGGTCGGAACTCGGAAGGTCCAGAGTATTTAAAATTATTATTCTCTTTAACTGGTTCATCATATATGTATTGAGATTTCCAACGTTGAATGTCTTTTTGGCAAAAATTTAGTCGTGATTTGTAAGAATTTTTTCAAAGACTAGGAACCGTTAAATGACAAGAACCGAACCGTTAAGAACGGTTCGGTTCCTTATCGGTTCTTTAAAATAATTTATAAGAACCGAACCGTTAGTAAAATTTCATATTTTCAAACGGTTCCACATATTCTGCCTAGGAACCGAACCGGTCCCAGGCCTACTAAAACATGTGTCGCTCAAAGTTGGATGTTTTTTTCCCGACCAAAGGCCTATTTTCCTTTTTCGTTTAAAAATATTTTAAAATAATTACCTGGGCACGTGCCATTTTAAACCAACTACCAATTCAATGACTCCGCATTCAAATGGAACCGTCTACTAACTTCCACGCATATATTTACGCGTCCGACAGCTGCGCACGGGCCCCGCTGGGAACCAGCAGACCCGACCGGCCGGCCGGAGAGTTTATGCCCGAACACCGACCAAAGCAACACAGAATGAATCCCAAAAATCAACGATGACGAAACCAGAGAAAAACAGAGTTATACCTGAACAACGCCCAAGAACGAATTGGTCCAGCCATGTTTAGCCGCCAACGGAACGACGGCGACGGACATCACGACCCGGTCAGCATTGCACAACGCCATTACACAGGCCACCAGCGCCACCACTTTGTACCTCTCCGGTATCATCACCCGGTGGCGTCCATCAGCGGCGGCGGCGGCGGATGCTCTCCCCATCAACCTCTCTATCCCCTCCGCAGCACACCTCACCTCGCCCCCTCCTCTGCTCTTCCGCCCCTGCATCGCGCCATTATCACCATCTCTGAAATCAATCCGCCCGGTAGATCTCCGGCCGCCAACCAATGCCGGCGACAAACGGCCTCCTACCGCCCATTCCGGCCGAAATCCCAAATGGGTCTTCCTAAAATTGATCAGCCCGCGATGGGTTTGGGAGGATGATGATGCGGAATTCGTATCAAGGGAGAAACAATGGATTTGAAATTTGGTAGTTGGTGTGGCACAAGCTGCGGCGGCCATCTCCGGGTATATATATGGGGGTGGGGGCAAGCTGGCCTTGTGAGGCTTAGCTACTTATATAGTTTGCAATATATGTGGCGGGCAAGTCTGGAATTGATTGCCGGAGGCTTTAAAATGACGGCCGCCATAGCTGAATATGTGTTTTTACCTAATTTTGCAGGTCGGGGTTGTTGAGACTTGAGACGGATAATGCAACAGCTCATACTCTCTTTGACTGGGGTCGGGCCTACCCGGCCCGGTAATGTAGCGGTGCGGGCTCGGGCCCAGGAAACTATGAATCGGCCGGGCCGGGCCGGGCCCGGTCCGGGCCACAACGGCTCTAATTTTAAAAAAATAAATAAATAAAATAAAAAAAACCTCCCTAGCCATTGGGAATAATCCCAAACGGCTCTATAGCCGTTGCCCGTTGGAGGGGGGAAAGGGGGGTCCGAGGGGTTTTTGGGGTGGGGGTGGGGGATACCAAAAAAATTCTATTTATACTCTTATTTTCTTTACATTTTTCACATCATCTTCATACAATCCTACTCTCTAATTTTCTATTCTCTCATACTCAATCATCTCCATCTTCATCTTCTCCGAACCTCTCTACATATATACGGAGTATATATATACGGAGTATATTATTTATATAATTATTATATCTCCTTATATATTAATTATCTACTTATATACCTATATTATATTACTAATATTTATTATCTACTTAATACATACTTATTATCTACTTATACATCTTCATCTTTTTAATATTTACTTTATTATCTATATTTATTGTTATTTACTTATATATATTAAAGTAATATATATAAGTGTATTACTCATCTTATAGTAATATACTTATATATTATATACAATAAACATTATATTATATATTAGTTATACAATAATCTACTTATATACATATATTATATTACTAATATTTATTATCTACTTAATATATACTTATTATCTACTTGTAAATCTCCGTCTTTTTAATATTTACTTTGATATCTACTTATTATCTATATTTATTGTTATTTATTTATATATATTAAAGTATTATATATAAGTGTATTACTCATCTTATAGTAATATATTTATATATTATATACTATAAACATTATATTATATATTAGTTATACAATAATCTACTTATATACATATATTATATTACTAATATTTATTATCTACTTAATATATACTTATTATCTACTTATACATCTCTATCTTTTTAATATTTACTTTGATATCTACTTATTATCTATATTTATTGTTATTTACTTATATATATTAAAGTATTATATATAAGTGTATTACTCATCTTATAATAATATACTTATATATTATATACTATAACCATTATATTATATATTAGTTACACTTGAATTCATAGTAATTAAATTCCTCGTATTAGTTAATTTTTACATTTCTCATTATCCTATTTTAGTTAATTAATACTTGTCTCGTTTTTTCTATTAGTTAATTCATCGTTTTTTCTATTCATAGTAAAAAGTAGTTAATTGTTACATTTTTCATTAAAGTATAAAAGTAGTTAATTGTTACATTTTTCATTAAAGTATAAAAGTAGTTAATTGTTACATTTTTCATTAAAGTATAAAAGTAGTTAATTGTTACATTTTTCATTAAAGTATAAAACTAGTTAATTGTTACATTTTTCATTAAAGTATAAAAGTAGTTAATTGTTACATTTTTCATTAAAGTATAAAAGTAGTTAATTGTTACATTTTTCATTAAAGTATAAAACTAGTTAATTGTTACATTTTTCTTTAAAGCATAAAAGTAGTTAATTGTTACATTTTTCATTAAAGTATAAAAGTAGTTAATTGCTACATTTTTCATTTCGCAGTTAGTTAATTTGTTAATTGTTACATTTATCATAAAAGTATAAAACTAGTTAATTGTTACATTTTTCATTTCCCTATTATTTAATTTGTTAATTGTTGTATTTATCATAAAAGTAAAAAACTAGTTAATTCTTAATTGTTGCATTAAAGTTTAAAACTAGTTAATTTTATTAGTAAATGGATTCTTGGAAATTTGCTATAATTTTATTAGTAGCATTTTATTATTACTATTGTACTCATATTAAAACATTTGATATCATGTAATATTTGTTACATTTTAAAGATGGACCGTGGTAGACATTCCGTAGATATGGGTAATCTCTAACGCAACCGAAGGAAGGAGATTGCGACAAGTCATCCTAGTTTACGCAAAGGCAAAGGTAAAGGGCAGGTCGGGTCTTCTTCTCAAAGTCGAGAAGATTTTGAAACGGGATACCAAAGGCGAGATGGGGATGCGATGTCCGACGAGCAACTACAACAACTATTGGCGCAAAATGATGGTCGCTTTTTCCAACAACAAAACATCCCGGAGTCCATTGATGAAGAGGAGCTCGAGGATGACGATGCAGAGGAGGACGAGGGGGGCGACGGGACTCTCGGCACCCCGGATGATGAGCAAGAGTTGGAGGACGAGGGCGGTTCATCCCAAGTTGGTAAGAAATCTAAATCTCCTATTATAGAAAATAATTTTACAAAGAGGAAAGACAAAACAACCGATAAATGGTATGCAAGTTGCAATCATTGCAATAAGGAGTATACCTTGGGAACTTCCGGCGGATACGGGAGCCTCAAAAGGCATTTTAAGTTCGCGCACTCTATGGAGTATGTGAAAATAGACAAAGGCAAGGGGAAGCAAACTCAAATATCGAGGTTTGCAAATGACCAACCTTTTGGTAATTTCTCATACAATGATGCACGGAATTTGACTGGTATGGCTAACTTACTTGTTGAAGAAAATTTGCTTTATTTGTTTTCTGAAAGTCTTGCTTTTAAAGATTATGCACAAACTTGTTTAAATCGTCATATTATTTTTGAAGTTCTATTATAATGTTTTTTTGGTCCATTTCCATTGTATGAGGATAACGTCATAGATCCGCAAGTTGAATACAACGAGGTTATTAATTTATTTTATGCCTTGTTTAATGAGTTTCATGCACAATATGGCAACACGCCCCCTCCCCCGACACACAAATCTTCATCCAAAGGAAAATCACTTTTTAAATTTGCTTTTGGCAATCTTATGAAAAAACTAAAACAACTCACACTACTGTACAAAGCGCACTTAATGAGATTTCTTTATATATAAATTATGAGGTAGAATTTGACGAAAATGAGGAGTTTGACGTTCTAAAGTGGTGGAAGTCAAAAGAAAGAATGTTCCCGATTTTGGCACGAATGGCTAAGCAAGTGCTATCAATGCCGGTTTCAACAGTTGCCGTGGTACAAGAATTTAGTTCTGCCGGCAACGTTCTAACGGCATCTAAAACGAGTTTGAAGGCCATACGTAGAACTCAAGAAATTAGAATCACCCCCTCCTAAGACTTTATGGATGAATCAACAACCGAGGGTGGCTCCTATGCCGGAGATTCCGATTGATTAGTATTTTACAGTTTATTATAAAATGTATTTTATGATTTAATTTTTCCCTCAATTCTCTATTGTAATTTGTAAACTTGTAGTTCATATTTCAAATAAATATACATTCTTTTTTAATACATGTAGCACTTCTCATATTTAAGTTGTATTAATAAGTAAAAAAAATACATGGGCCCGACCGGACCCGGGACCCGGGCGGGTGACCCGGCCCGAACTGGCACCGGCCGAAGGTCGGGCCGGTTCCGGGCCCCCCATTCCAGATCCGGAGGCCCGACCGGGCCTAGGCCCGACCCGAGTCCAGGCCTAGTAAGAGTTGGTATAAAGTGGTATCACGCCATAGTGAGCACGGTTCTCCCATACCCAAAACAATGTAGTTTCACACATTTTTTTTAAAAAAATCGTGTGAACATTAACGCGTGAATAGTAACCGTTTTTTCTCTTTGTCCCAGTAGCATGAATGATATAATTCGCGTGAAAATTAATGTAACTCACGTTATTGATTTATGTAACTCAAGTCCAGTTGAAGTGTAACTTGTCAAATACGGAGTACATGGTATAAGAAATAAAACATTCATTTCAATGTAAACAATGAAAAAAAGAGTCTAAATGCATGATTATTTTACATAAATAGTGAATATGTTTTGTTTTTAATATCATGATCAGAAAAATGATTTTAAAAAAAACTTTTTGTTTTGTTTTAATAGTAGGGGTTGATTTTTTGGTGTAACTCATATTATTACTTATGTAACTCACCTAGTTGGCAAATGTAATTCAGGTGTATTCAAATGTAATGTGTGCATTAAAAGATTTAACTCGCTTATAAAAAGATGTAACACAATGTATTATCAAATGTAATGAGGATAAAAGATTACACAGAGTATATTTTAACCTGGCCTTAATTATATTATACGTAGGGGTGAGATTGATCCGGTCTGGGTCGGGTTTTTTCTTAACCCGGAAGTTACCCGGAAGGTCTCGGGTTGTGAAAATTAGGGATCGGAACAAAGCCCATTATATTCGGTCCGAGTCGGGTTTTTGATAGCCCGGGTTCGGTCTGGGTTCGGGTTGGGCCGGTTAAAGCCCGGATGTGAAATATCTCATTGTTTTTTTATATTTTAACATCTATTTTCAAATAAAATTAATCAAAAATACAAATTGCAAATAATAACACAAATATTAGTCTCCAAAATCTCCAACAATTCAAATCCAAAGAAGATAATTATCTTAATATTTTATTTAAGATGCATATAGATAACTAATATAGGTTTCTTAAATATATTACGAAATAAAATTTATAGATAAAAATGTGACTAGAGTTGCTATACATATATTTTCATGGTCATTACGCTAAACAAATTCATTGTAATCACTAAAAGTTACTAAATCATTTTTTTATCTACCGTGATTATAATCATTTATTAGGAAATATTTATAAATTTATATTCATATATTATACGGAATATTAATATTTTATTCATATATTTATAATCATTTTTTAGGAATATTCATAAATTTATCCACCGACAGCGCCGCCTAAACGGGATGATTGGAGGTAGCGAAAAGAGAAGAGGTTGGAAGTTGCGCTTGGCGTCCCACGGTTACTTTTCTTTCCAATTGCAAACTAACTTTCCCTTTATGTGGTCATGTTTAGGGGTGGGCACGATCCGGGACGGTCCGGGATTTGGCTTATCCCGATCCCTTCCCGATTTTATAATAACGGTCTGGTACGACACGGGATAAGTCTTTATCCCAATGTTGTCCTATTTAAAACGGGACCAGGACAACCCGAGAAAAATCGGGACGGTTCGAGATGTCCCATAAAATATGCATTTGTGAAATGTGACATAAAAATAATCATAACATCAAAATAAAGTCGTAACTATTTTTGCAAATTTAGCTTCCGATCCCTAAAAGTTAAGTAAAACCTTTAATTAACTATTTTTAATTTTTGTCTTGTAAATTTTTTTGGTTCCCCTAATCTTGTGTTTCCTCTAGTATAATAGTAGCGCAAAATATTTTTATACTTTGTAGTACACTTGTAATTTTTCAATACCACATTAAATTAAACATCATATCTATAAAGATACTATATATATTTTATAGTAGTTATTTTGGAAAATATTAAATGTATAACAACACTATAATTTGGAGTAGTGGTTATTACATCATAAATAATATTTCGCACGTAATAATATATTATGGATTAGTATTGGAATGAGAACTAAACAACTTTTAATCAAAAGAAACGAGACTAGGAGAGACATGAAATAAAATAAAAATACACTAGGGAGACTAAGGACTAGAAAGTTTTAATTGGGTTGGCTATTACATAGCATAAGTAATTTAAATTAACATATTAATTTCAAACGGAATACTGAGACGAGACATGATATTTTATAGCTATCCCGGTCCCGTCCCAGTTAATATCGTTGCAAGACCGGTTCAGGATGAAATAATTGTGTCCTAAATGGATCGGGGTAGTTTTGGAACGGTATCGGGATTTTTCGGTTTGGGACACCGGGATCGGGATCTTTGCCCACCCCTAGTCATGTTTAGGTGGAAATTGGACCACATAATTTCAATGTTTATTTGTGTGCTAAGGTTTGAGCGAAGCTTCAAGGTCCCTGAAGCTTGAACGGATGGAGAAAGAGTTCGTAGCTCACCAGGAAGTGGCGCGGAATGGGATATAAAAAGCGACACTTCGCTCTTTTTTATTGTAAACGATGCCGTATGGGGATCGGCACATCATGCGCATGGTGGGCCGATCCCACGGTATATTTAAATGGTTCTATAGAATTTTATCTTGAATCAAAATCGTACCGTTTCAAACGGCTATAAGACTCCTCTTATAATTTTTCCATACCAATAAATCTCGTTTATAGACCAACAATTTTATAGTCCTCATCCCTAAAGTGGCTAAGTGTGTGCGTATATATAAATATTGTTATTTTTTCTTTTTGAAAATTTATGTTATACTACATTACTACGTATTTGGTATATATAAAAACAATGTTAAAGTTTTAAAAATCACTAATGACCATTAATTTGTAGTAATTTAGTGTATATTAGTTTTTGTTGTCTCATATTTGTGTAGTTTTATAACTTAATTAATATGGTTTAAATTTTAACTATTACGATTCAACTATGAATTAAAGTAGAACTAATATTCATTCTAGAACAAAGAAGAAGAACGTTAAAATTTTCTATTATATTCAACAATTAGATGATATTCTTTTTATATTTTCACATGAATATAATAAAGATGATATATATTTGGTGTACAGTCATTTTGTTATATTCTTCTTTAATAGTGTTGCACTATTTGAGTATTTGTTAATTTAAATACAAAAATTTAAGCCTCTTGAATTTCGTAGTATTTAGTATGCACTTTGTTATATTTTCATCAACATTTATTATGAATTGGACGGTGTGATGATATCAATTAATTGCAATATTTGTCCAAATGTTTTAACATGTGTATGATATTGTACTGAACCGTTTTGAAATGACACAGTACTATTATGATCCTATGCGTGGAGCAATATTATGATCCATGATATATTTCTAGATTTTTTCATGTGTTACTACGTGTTAATCATTTACTTACTTATTTTGTAATTATTCTTTTATTTTACTTTCATTAGCACCGTACGCACGTATGTATATGCTTAGGGGGCGTGTGGTTCTTCGCATATTAAAAATGTACATGTAAAGTAATTGCACGTAAACGGTAGGGATGTAATCATTTTGCATGTAAAATAAAACTATATTGTTTGGAGAGCTATGTGATCTATTTTAAAAATAAACGCATTGATTGACTCAAATTTAAAATAAATTCACACATAAAACGAAGCATCATATACTATGTCGAACATGTATCATTGTCATTCCATTCATCAATGATCCATCCAAATCTATTAATAGCATGATTTCACTGAAAACGGGCTTGGAAAAAATCACAAAAGTCAAGTAGCTTGAGAAATAACCCACCCACCACTAGTTTATATATGTGTGTGTATATAATATTATATAATATCAATACAATACGAGTATTATTGGAGCATAATATTAGTAAATATTATCATGAATTTATTACTTGTAATTATCCCATACGGTTAGCCTATTATCACATACGGTTATGATGATTATCCCATAGCCTGTGCACAGTTAGTTATTAGATATTATCTCTTCCATTGTAAGCCTATATAAACACATGTACGAACCTCAATAATATACAATCAGTTTTACACCTTTCCTTTACTTCTTCATGGTATCAAGAGCCTTTCTCTAACGAGTTCAGTTTTATTTCGATCCAATCATGTCGACCATCACCCCCACCATGCCAGTTACGTTGTCTTGCTTATGGCCTCAACTCATTTCCCCATCAAACTTACCACGTCTAATTACCCCGTCTGGAAGTGTCAGGTCCACCCCGCCTTAGTGGGTCTCGATCTTGTTGGCTATGTTGACGGTTCAATCACGGCGCCGGACATGTTTGTGGATGCTGCCAAGACTCAGCCGAATCCATGCTACGCCATTTGGTACCGGCAAGACCGCACTATCATCAGTGCGTTGCTCGGCAGTTGTGCTGATGCTATTCAGCCCTTGATCTCATCTGTCACAACGGCAAAACAGGCCTGGGATAAGCTCTCGCTCACATATGCGAGTACATCGAGGGGCAGGATCATCTCCCTCAAAACTTCTCTCTCGCGGAACACAAAAGGAGGCCGGTCAATCACAGAATATGTTGCTGAAATGTACGCCATATCTGAGGCGTTGGCTCTCGCTCAGAGCCCTATCTTCGAGGAAGACTTGATAATAAACATTCTCAACGGCCTTGGGGCTGATTATGGTGAACTACGCTCAGCCATCCGTGTTCGTAATACATCTCTTCCCCTTGCGGAGCTGCAGGACATCCTCTTGGAGCACGAGCAAAAACTTCAGGAAGCAGGTACGTTGGTTCAGAATCTTGTAACCACAGCACATTACACACAGGCTGCTGGACGTCCATTTGATCCGTCAATGCATACTGACCGTCGCCACTCTCACGCTGCTGATCGCCGTGGACCCCATGCACGTCGCGGTCGTGGCGGCAGTACACATGGCCAGTACTGGAACCCTTCAAATGGAGTAGTGTGCCGGTTTTGTAATTTTTCTGGGCATGAGGTCAAACAATGCCGGAAATTACAGAAATTTCTCCGGGACAATCAGATTATTACTCCGTCCGGTTCGGCCTCCCCGGTAGCTCATACTACGACGGTCAACCCCATGACCGGCGTCATCTCTTGAAAAGAATAACTAGAAGCAAACTCTTGGAAATTGTAGTTTGATCGGTCCATCGCAGACGAAAATTGCAGTTTGATCGGTGCCATCAATCATGAAGAGCATTGTATGAAGTACTCTATATTTTAGCATTACAGTGTAAAATATTTTAAACTGTACAGTGTAAAATATTTTTTTTAAAAGTGCCCTACAGTTTACATCAAGCAATTAAAACAAACGGTGTAAAATGTTTACTTCCCCACGCTTCGCATGCAAAGTGTTTACTTTACACCATACCAAACGGGCCCTTAGATGAATCTTGCGAGATGTACAAAACTATACACAAATAATACTCATCATTTTACTCAATTTATTTATTTATCACTGGAAGTACGTGATATCAAGCCCAATTAAAAAAATATAGGTTCAACATATAAAAACAATTAGAATATTGAAAATTTGTCTTTTGCTTTCACGGTTTATTGGTTAACCGAAAATTTGGTTAACCAATAGCCGGTTAACCAATGTTATGATACGGTTATGGTGTTGAAAATTTAATAACCGCTATCTCGGTTAATCGGACATTTGGTTAACCGAAATCCGGTTAACCGACCATGCCCACCCCTAACTAGAAGGTTCCCGTTGACAGTTTACGATGCTTGTTGACGATAAAACAACTTAATCTCTGTTCACACTCTGATTATTTTTAGTAAATAAAATTTACATATTTTAAAACTACATTTAAAACCAATACAATGCCTGATAAAAAATGTAAATTTGATAAAAACTTGATTTATAAAGTAAGAGATTAAAATTGATTTTAGTTGACCATGTGAATAATTGATGGAAACATTTTAATGGGACGGAAGTAGTATTTGTTAATGATTATGTACAATTATATACTACCCCTGTTCCTAAAAATCCTTCCTAATTTACCTTGGCACACTTATTAAGAAAGTGAAATAAAGTGAAAATGTATGATTGTGATTGTGTAAGAAAAAAGTAAAATGAATGTGAGCCACACAAATTGTCCAAAAAGGGAAAGTGAGAAGTATTTTTGGGAACAACCCAAAAAGGAAAGTGAAAAGTATTTTCGGGAACGGGGGAGTATTGAATGAACGGATCGTGGCAGGATGACACATAGGGGTGGGTTCGTAGTACCAAAAACCGAAAACCGAATCAAATCAAATCAAACCGCGATCAAATGAACCGAACCGATGAAAAATCGAAATCGAACATAAAAAACCGAACCTGTTTGGTTTCGATTTCGGTTTTGACTCCTAAAAACCAAACCGAAACCGAAAAAACTAAAATATTTAAAAATATAAAAAAATCATTTATTTTATATGGAGTATATGGCCGGTCATGCGTATACTTATTCCAGTTGATGAGGATGGGATATGCTTGAAGAACTAAGGGCTTGTTTACTAACAGAGATATTTTCTTGTTTTCTACTTCTGTTTTTCGTTCTCCAATTTTCTGTTTTTATTTTTCAGTTTTTCTATCTCAAATTTTCTGTTTCTATTTTTTAGTTTTCCTGATGGATAGTCTACCCGGGGGGTATCTTATCCGAGGGGTTATTACGGGAATAACTTAGAGAGAAGTCAGAGAAAATAGGAGGAGAGAGAGTCGATTTTATTAAATGAACTCGAGATGTGGAGTTGAGATGTAGATCCTGTCCGTTACAAGGAGAAATGGGCTGCTATTTATAGCAGCAATAAATGCGATGAGAGGACACGTGTCAGTAATCCAACGGCCGAAGGGTCACATCAGCCTGGTGGCACCGGCAGTGGTACGTCAACCGCATTGAATGCGGTTGGTGGATGCGACGTGGCATTAAATGCGGTGGTTGGCTGTCTCTAAAAGGAATCTTCGATGATTGAGCTTGTTCAGCCGAAGGCACCTTGTGTTGCCGAGGGCTCCTTGTGTAGCCGAAGGCTCCTTGCGTAGCCGAGGGCTTCTTGTGTAGCCGAAGGCTTCTTGTGTAGCCGAAGGCTTCTTGTGTAGCCGAGGGCTCCTTGTGTAGCCGAGGGCTTCCCCTGGTGCCGAGGGCATGAGAATGCCGAAGGCTCATCTTTTTGTCCGTTTTCTTCCGGTAGCTTCTTATGCCAGAGAAGGCTATCCTGTGAGTTTTGGAGCCTTCGGCCAAGGAGGCCGAAGGCACCCCAGTGTGTATTCTGGGCTGCTTTGAGGCTTGGGCCGCGGTATTTGGGCCTGAGTTGTTTCCTGAGCTCAATGGACTTGTGTAGGAGAAGTAGGAGTCTACGGGCCGGGGGTTCCTGGGCCATATACTCCATCAGGAGTCCCTCACTCCTTTTGTCGAAAGGTACTTGAGGGAAAAGGAGTAGATGTGTTGCTTCTTCTGGAGGCTTCATCATTTCGCTGGATGCTTTTGCTGGAGAACTTTGTCCACTGCCGAAGGCTTCCCTCAGTCCCTCACATGTCGAGGGTTTTCTGAGGGAAGGTATTCACAACCTTCGTATGTTCGCCGGGGGCTCCCCTCAGTCCCTCACATGCCGAGGGTTTTCTGAGGGCAGTATAACACCTGTATGACCGCAGAAGGCTTTCCTCAGTCCCTCACACGTCGAGGGTTTTCTGAGGAAAGCATGGATGTATTGCCTGCGTGTGTTGTGATGAGGGTTGCTTTATTTCCGCAAAGTGACTCGGGGAAAAATTTTGATACTCTACCTCTGCCGAAGGATGTGTTGAAGTATATACCCGAAAGTTTCTGCTTTGATGTTCACCCGGATGCTACTTGCGTCAATTGTAAATCTTTGCATGAGGAATTTTTGTCCTGCATGATTCCCGAGGGGTGTATCCCAGTCCCCCACTCCTTTAGGCCGAAGGCAAGTTCGGGCTGAAGGAGTTATGATGTGTTGATACAAACCCGAGGGGTGACAATATTGACAAGTCGGGGGCTGATGCTGCCGCAAGCTCGGAGGCGTTTGGTGGAACTTGTTGCCTGAAGGCTGCGGTGAGCGATAACCGGAGGCTATCGTTCGAGGGCCTCCCAGTGCCGCCGAAATATAGTCGTTGTAATATAGCCGTTGGAGGAGAGTTCCACGTGGCGCTCTGTCGTTGGCAGATGGGGGGCGGGTGTCACCCATAGGCTGAGGCGGCGGCCCGTAATGATGGGCTTTTCAAATCGAAGCCCAACTCTCGAGGCCCAGTTGCCTATAAATACCCTGAGCCTGAGCTCCTTTGTCCTTGCGCGATTTTAGAGAGATAGCGGAGCTCTGCCAATTTTTCTAGAGAGAGAAAGTATTCCCTTCGGACAAGGTCCATCCCCGAGGTTAGTTCTTCCATCTGTTGAAACACTTAGCATATTTTTCCTTCCTCCCCCTTAGTCCAGTGTTAGAGTGCCCTTAGGACACCCTTAGCCTTCATTTCTTCCATATTACCGAGGAATGTCGTCGGCTAGCGATTCTCAAGACATCTCCAGGGAGGCTTCGGTGGCATCGGAGAGCCAGTCCGAGGTAGAATCCTCCAGCGTGCAGTCTTCGGATAATAACGACTCCGTTTTTGCCGAGGAGATCCAAGACACCCTCAGGATTGAGGCCGAGGCCGAGGAATTCGAACAGGTAGCAGAAGATGAGGAGCTGGCCCTCGCTGTTCAGACTGCCGAGGAGGAGGAAGAAAAGGAAAGGCTGAAGGTGACCGTGGCTGTCTTGCCGGCGCGCAATGATGCAGAGGCCAGCTGTTCGCAGCCCCTGAATCCGGAACCTCTCAGCGTGGCTCCGGGTAAGAGGAAGAAGAAGCTGAGGGCGGCCCCGAAGAAGAAGAAGGCGGCTGCCGATGCTGGGCAGCCGGTTGGCATCCCCGAAGGCCACTCGTATCTTAACACAGCAGCCCTTGACGTAAAGACGAAGGCCGGGGAGGCTGAGTACCTCAAGACCCAGCTTTTAGTGGGGCCCTCGGCGTTAGTAGTAGAGCCGGGGCCTAACGACGTGTTGCTGCATCCTCCGGAGGGTTGCTTCGCCGTGCATATTCTCTCGGTGGAATTGGGGCTTCGCTTCCCCCTCCACTGGTTTGTTTTGGAGTACTTGCGTTTCGTGAAGCTGGCTCCCTGCCAACTGACGCCAAATAGCCACTCCTATTTGGCGGGCTTCCTGTCCCTGTGTCTCAGCCGGGGGGTTACCCCCACATTGGACTTATTCTTCCAATCCTTCAACCTCTGCCGGGGGGGTCATTCGCACGCGGGAGGCTTCGCGAACCTACAACAAATCCCGGAATGGAGATTGTTCTCGGAGGTCCCTTCCTCCCATAAGAATTGGAAAGACCGCTTCTGCTATATAAGGATGGCGGAGAATCCTTTTTCCGTCCCCCTCCGAGATCATTTCCGGAGGCACCCGAAGGTGGGAAATGCTGCCCTTGCCAAGGAGGGGAAAAAGCTGACGGCCAAACCGGAGGGCTCAGATAAGGTGATGAAGATAAAGGAAGCTATCCTCTCGGATGAGTTATACCGCCTTGGTTTTCGGCGATACCGTCTTGCCGGGGAGAAGGACGAAAGATATCCCCTTGTTGACAGGGGCTACCAAGGCGCCGGAGGTTGTTGCCGAGGGCCCACATTTTTAGTACTCAGAAGTTTTTCTATTCCCATGATTGCCACGGTCTAACATTTATTTCCCTCCCTTTCAGGTCAAGCAATGGACGTCAAGGCCTATGCCGCATTGAAGAAGAAGGCGTCGAAGGCGCCAAAGAAGAAGGATGGGCCGTCCCAGCAGAAGCCAGTGGACGAGTTTTTCAAGAAGGGCGAGGCCCCCCGGACCCAGGGACGTGAGGAGCCTTCGGAGAATATGGCTCCCGTCGTTACCGGTGCCAACGCCGGTAGCTCCCAAACAGAGGAGCTGAAAAGGAAGCGGTCCGGGAAGGGCGTAGTGCTCCCGGAGAAAAAACTGAAGAAAGTGGAGATCGCCCTCGGGAAAGATGCTCCCTTGGTGGTTGTGGATGACCAGCCTTCTTCCCCCGAGCCCCACATCGGGTGGGTGACCACCCCGCGCTCCCCTGCGGATCCGGAGACAATATGGCCCCGGGAGGAGGTTCATTTTCCCCTCAAGAAGGGGAACGCCGTCATGCTTGGGTCTCTCGACCCTTTGGAGTTTATGAGGGGGGTCACCCCTTCAAAGGACAGGCTTGTGCTGTCCAAGTACGAGGATGATGTCCTCGACTGCAGGATCATGCAAGCTTCTGTCACCGTAAGTTCCGTCGTCCCCT